ATCTTTAAGCAATAGTATTAGTATAGACCCTGCTAGCCCTTTATGATATTGAATTGTTTTATATATTGAATTGTTTTAGATGGTGTTATGATTGCCACAATTATTATTTATGTGTTTTATCTTCCATGTAAGCTGCCATGAGCCTGCCTCGGTGGGGAGGGTTGAACAATTGATCAAATAAATCAATCAAATAATAAATAAATAAATAAATAAATAAATGAACAGTTCCAACCAAAGGAACCAGAATCAAGTTCTAGGAGGCTGAGACAAATCCCTATAGGTAACCAGCTTGATCATACTCAGGAATCAGCTTGCAGGCTCAGGATTTATAAGAGGAGAAGAAGAGAAGAGATTGGATTTATACCTTGCCCTTCACTACCTGAAGGAGTCAGAGCAGCTTACAATCTCCTTTCCCTTCCCCTCCCCACAACAGACACCCTCTGTGAGGTAGGTGGGGCCGAGAGAGCTCTTTCAAGGACTGCTCTTGAGAGAACAGCTTTGAGACAACTTGTGACTGACCCAAGGTCACACCAGCAGCTGCATGTGGAAGAGTGGGGACGCTTGCGGGGAGGGCGGGATAAAAATACCTAAATAAATAAATAAATAAAACCCAGTTCTCCCAGTTTAGAGTCCACGCTCCTAACCATTTGATTTGGTCCTTGGATCATGTGCTGATCACAGACCAGGAGAGAAACTGCAGCCCAGAAGTACAGGAACAAGATTAGGGGGATCAGGTCTTCTCCCACCTCTGGTCCCCTGCTGCTGCCTGGTGCAGCAGAGGAAGACATGGAGCCAAAAAAGTGATATTACGATAATGCCATGATATCACTTCCAGTTACATAACCAGAAATGATCTTGTGGTGTGGCACATATGCTATAGTAATCCCCCTCCAAACTGTATGGCCAAACCGTAGAGGTTTGGGGGAGATTGCTAGAGCACCCCTGGTGACATGTGATATCACTTATGGTTATGTGACTGGAAGTGACATCACGGCATCACGCAGCATCACACAGTGCCACTCAATGCCCAGCCCTGCCTCCAGAAGCGCCCAGAGGTTACCTTCAGTTATTAACCTTAGACAGGACCAAGCCACTTTCTTTCTTATTTGCCAAAGGGCCAAGAACAAGGTCAAAGTGAGAGTGTGTTTCCTCACTCCGTGGATTCTTGTGTATGCATGTGTAACAGTAGCTTGAACAGACAAATTACATTAGTCTCCACATTTGGCACTGTTGCGTGTGTTTGCTCTGCTGCAACACTTCTGGAAGGCAGCCAACATCTTGCAAAACTTAGTTGCAGAGCCATGGTTCCCTTTGAAGCCAAGGGTCAGTGTTAACTGTTTGGTACTACTAGTAAGTCTTGCAAGGATAGTCAAAATATAGGAGAGCAGTGGAAGCAAAACTGAATGTACGGTAACAGGGATTGTGTTTTTGCGACATATGCAAAGGAAACATGGGAAGACTCGAAAGTGGTGGTGTACAGATGTCCAGTGTGCCTTTGTATACAAATATTGTGGTTTTTATCAAAAAGTATGTCATTCTAGGACAGTGGTGGCGAACCTATGGCATGGGTGCCAGAGGTGGCACTCAGAGCCCTCTCTTTGGGCACGTGGGCCATCGCCCCAGCCAGGCCAGACCATCATTAAAATGCCAAATTCTTTGCCAAATAATTTTAAGTAAATGAAAGCATTTGGGATTGCTTTCCTTACTTTGTTTGGATCATCTTAAGTTAATGTATGAGTTGTTTTTTCTAAAGTAAAACCTCAGTATTCAGGTTAAATTGCCGTGTTGGCACTTTGCGATAAATAAGTGGGTTTTGGGTCACAGTTTGGGCACTCGGTCTCTAAAAGGTTCGCCATCACTGTTCTAGGAGCAGCGGTGGCTCAAGTGGTTAAGACGCTGAACTGCAGGCTGTGGAAGGTCGGTAGTTCAGCAGTTCGAGACCCAAGTGTGCCGCATGACGGAGTGAGCTCCCGTCTCTAGTTCCAGCTCCTGGCAACCTAGCAGTTCGAAAGCAAGAAATTGCAAGTAGATAAATAAGTACCGCTTCGGTGGGAAGGTAACAGCGTTCCGTGAGCCTTGGTGTTTAGTCATGCCGGCCACATGACCACGGAAACATCTTCGGACAGCGCTGGCTCTTTGGCTTTGAAACGGGGATGAGCACTGCAACCCTAGGGTCGGATTCGACTGGCTTTCGAGCAAGGGGACCTTTACCTTTACCTTTTTATGTCATTCTAACTCATTGTGGTTGTGCTGATGCACTGCTCAGAGTTAATTCTGAGGGAAAGTGTGTGCAATCAGTCTGCGCTGCAATACATACATTCTCAGTGGCATTTCCCACCCATTCATCTATAATACATCAACACCCACCCACAGCAGACAAGGCCTATCTATGCATTTTAATCCTTTCCTACCTTCAAGGAGCTCAGGGTGTTGCACCAAGTAGTCCTGCTCCCACTTACCATTTTATCCTGTATAGCAGGTTAGGCCAGGGCAAAGGCACCCAGTGACCTTTACAGTTCAGCACGTAGGATTGCTGCCCTGTTCTGGACGGCCCAGGCTAGCCCAGACTCATCAGATCTTGCAAGCCAAGCAGCGTCTGTAGCATCCTCTGGGACTGGTGTGTAGGATTACGTTTGTCTATTCAGTTCGCACCCAGGAGGCTCCGGCAGCTTCAGGAATGGGCTTCTTTATTGCTTCACCCACACCTGGAACGACATCCTACACACACAGAACTACAACTAAGTGAGACACACACACCTCCCCTACAGGACTTGATGGGGGAAACAGAAACTAGTTAGTGAGGGGTCACTTAAACGTATACACATATATACGCATTTATATGTCACTGTGGTGACTACCTGGATGGGAGACCACCAAGGAAGTCCAGGGTCACTACATAAAGGAAGACAATGGCAAACTACCTCTGAACATCTCTTGCCTTCAAAACGATACAGGGGTCACCATAAATCAGCTGTGACTTGACGACACTTTCTACCACCACATAGAAGTAGAAGAAGGAGAGACTGGATGTATACCCTGCCCTTCACTTGGAATCTCAGAGCGGCTTACAAACTCCTTTCCCTTCCCCTCCCCACAGACACCCTGTGAGGTAGGTAGGTGGGGCTGAGAGAACTCTTGACAGAAACTGCTCTTTTTCAAGAACAGCTCTTATCAGAACTACGGCTTGCCCAAGGTCATCCAACAGCTGCGAGTGGAGGAGTGGGGAATCAAACCTGGTTCTCCCAGTCTGCGCACTTAACCACTATTAGGTACTGTTCAATAGCACTGGGTCGGTTTACAATACTTTGCACCAGACTCAAGCTCAATACATACATACATTCCGTTCCATACATAACAACCACTACACCAAATGTAGGTTTGCCACCCTCCAGTGGGAGCCTGGCATTCTCCTAGAATAGTGGTTGCGAACGTATGGCACGGGTGCCAGAGGTGGTACTCAGAGCCCTCTCTGTGGGCACACGTGGCATCGCCCCAGCCAGGCCCAGACCATCATAAAAGTGTCGAATTCTCTGCCAAATAATTGTAAGTAAATGAAAACATTTGGGATTGCTTTCCTTACTTTGTTTGGATCATCTTGTTAATGTATGGGTTGTTTTTTCTAAAGTAAAACCTCAGTATTCAGGTTAAATTGCCGTGTTGACACTTTGCGATAAATAAGTGGGTTTTGGGTCGCAGTTTGGGCACTCGATCTCTAAAAGGTTTGCCATCACTGTCCTAGAATTACAACCAATCTCCAGACTACAGAGATCAGCACCCCTGGAGGAAAGGGCAGCGTAGGAAGATGGAGTCTCTGGAACTGCAGTTTGCATCCCTGCTCAGCTTCCCCCCTCCCCCAACTCTGCCCTCTCCAGCCTCTGCCCCCAAATCTCCAGGAATTTCCCAAACTAGAGTTGACAACCCTAGGTATTCGAACCCAGCTCTCCCACATCTCACAGATGAAATACCATCACTGGCTCTCTTCACATAAGAAGATATATGAATGATAAAATCACAGGGTTGCTTCCAATGCTCCCCCCAAGCTGTGGAGCTTAGTCTTGTCTTGTGAGCTACTGGCATTACAGTTGTGAGCGAGCAATTTGGCTACTGCATCAATTAGTTTGCTCTGGAGCCGTCCTTCCTGAGCTAAGACAGAAATCTGTGAGCCGGAGGCTAAAAAACTGTGAGCTAGCTCACACTAACTGAACTTAGAGGGAACACTGGTTATCCTTTTATGCCTGCCCTTCACAGCATCATATTTATTTATTTATTTATTTTTCATATTTATATCCCGCCCTCCCCAATGGGCTCAGGGCGGCTCTAGGGTTGCAGCGCTCATCTCCGTTTCAAAGCCGAAGAGCCAGCGCTGTCCGAAGACGTTTCCGTGGTCATGTGGCCGGCATGACCAAGGCGCACGAACCGCTGTTACCTTCCCACTGAAGTGGTCCCTATTTATCTACTTGCAATTTCATGTGTACTGATTCCTCAGAAATCAGGAAACGGCTCAGAGCAATCTACGTTAATATAAATATTGTTCAAAAACATTTCAGGTTTCCATATCTATATAAAGTGTGTGTGTTGGGGGGGCGGGGATCAGAGACTACTAAGGAAAGAAAGCTGGCCAGAGAAGAAAGGCAGCCAAGTCACGGGGGTCCTGTTTCTCGAGCAACAACCCCGCAAAGCATCCGCAAGCGCTCCTTTCCCCATTTTTCGTCGGGTACAGTTTCTTTTACGGAGTTCGCGTGAGTGGTTAAACATAGAAATACAAAAAGAGCAGACTTGTTAACCACTTCCGGTATAAAATGGAACTGATTCTTCCCCTCGAACTTCCAATGGAGAGTGCATAAGATCCTCATCACAGAGAGGACAGGGCCTACAGTACAGCGTAAGTCAATGTTTAACCGGAAGTTGAAGCTGCCTGCCGTGTTCTTTCCCCTACGTCCGTGAGCTAGCGTGGTGCCCTTTTTTACGTACGCTGCGTTCTTCTTCCCTAGCGAGCGCCGTTGTGAGTTGAGGCTGCGCTCCCGTAATGAAGCTTCGAGAATCGCCGTTGTTTGTACCGGTTGTGTAAGCCGGCGGACTTTGGGCTGTAGTCGGCTTTGGGGCCGCCATCTCCGTCCCTGACCACGGCCGGGTTGCGCCATGGCGACCTCAAGTGCAGTTAACCTTCTCCTGCGGGCCGCGGTCGCCTCCTGCCACCGGCTTCCCTCCACTTTCCGCGGCGTTGCCAGACTAGGTAGTCCGGGCCGGTTCTTCCATGCTTCAGCCCCGGCTCGGCTCAGGTAAGGACAGGTGAGGTCGAAGGCGAGGAAAAAGAGACCCAACAAACCGGCTGGGAAGCAGTGCTCCCTCTAAGCTGTGGAGTCTTGTGAGCAAAAATTCTACTTTGCAAGCTGCTGGCATGAAAGTTGTGAGCGAGCGATTTGGCTCCTGCATAAATTAGTTCGCTCTGGAGTCCTCCTTCCTGAGCGAGGAAAAAAATCTGTGAGCTGGAGGCTAAAAACCTGTGAGCTAGCGCACACTAACTCAGCTTAGAGGGAACACTAGAGGGAAGTATCATCTCTCCTAGGGGGGGGGGACCAGAGACGGGGCCTTTTCTTCGGTGGCACCCCGGTTTTGCGTCCTCTTCCTTCTGACTCTGGTGCCAGGTTTACTGAACTTTAGTGAATGGAGATAGACAGACGGAGATAGAAAAACAGACAGACACGTGGACAGATATACACAAACAAATTCAGGTGGGCAGCCGTGTTGGTCTGAAGCTGCAAAACAAAGTTTGAGACCAGTGGCACCTTTAAGCTCATACCTTGAATAAAGCTTTGTTGGTCTTAAAGGTGCCACTGGTCTCAAACTTTGTATACGTAGGGTTGCCAGGTCTGGGTTGGAAAATATCTGGAAACTTTGGGGTGGATCCGGGAGAGGGCAGGGTTTGGGAAGGAAAAGGACCTCCGCATGGTACAATGCCACAGAGTCCACCCTTCAAAGCAGCCGTTTCTCCCCAGGGGAGCTGATCTCTGTTAGCTGGAGATCAGTTGTAAAAGCAGGGGATCTCCAGGCCCCACCTGGAGGCTGGCAACCCTGGTTATACATGTCTAGACAGATACATAGACAGACAGACACAAATCCAGCATAGGTTTTCATGAGTCATAGCTTACTTCTCCTGCTGGATTCCTGTTTTTTATTTTGCTGTCATGGAGGAACAAGACTAGGAGTTATTATTCCTGCAATGGCTTTTGTTTATATTATTATTGCTTTAGTACTGGGGTGTCGAACTGATTTGTTATGAGGGCCAGATCTGATATAAATGAGACCTTGTTGGGCCGGGCCACGTGTGTCATAAAATGTAATGCCAGGTAGCGGAGATATAAACCTTATAAAGGACACAAACACAAAGGGGTTTTTTTTACTTAAAATAAAAACATGCTTAAAACATTAGCATTCTTGCAATATTTTGTTGATTTAGCAGCGTCTTACAACTGACACCTCTTGCTCTAAATTATTGCATCAGAATGTCTGTGCTGTTGCAATTTCGAGTATGCTGTTCAGGTGTGTATCTGTAAGCTGCAAACCTATGATGACGCAGCAGCAGAACTGGAAGCAGAATCAGAAGACAGCCAGTTCCACTGTGGGCCTGATAGAAGCCTCCGGGGGCCTGATCCGGACCCTGGGCTGCATGTTTGACACCCCTGCGTTAGTACATTTTAGTCTTGCTTTTCCTCCCAGGAGTTTGGTGTGCCTAGGTCTGCCCTTTTTACTATCACTAACAGCCCTGTGAGGTAGGTTAGGCGGAGAGTGGGAGAAATGACTGGTCCAACATCATCCATTGAGGTTCATTGGGAGGTGGACCTGGAATGGATCTCCCCCATCCTAGTTCAGCACCGATTCCTGCCCCATGCTGCATTAGAAAAGAGCAAGAGTCCGTAGCACCTAAGGGCCAACAGAATATGTGGCAAGGTAGGAGCTTTCCTGAGTCATTGCTCACTTCTTCATGCTGTGTGTGGTGGTTTAGAGAGGAGGAGAAGGTGACAGCTCTGGAAGATAAATAGAACGTCTTGAAGTGACACTTCAGAGGCCAATGAGTTCTTACTCTTGCATAAGCTTTCATAGGCTAGAGTGCTCTTCTCTGTGGCATTTTATGCTAGAATGAAAATGTGGTACTAAATTAACATGGCTGGCCCTTTCTGGAAACAGACCTTGAAAAGTTTGCGATCTAAAATCTGACATATGAGAAACGATAAGGGAAGGGAGGCTGATGGAGGAAGGCTAAATAGGGGGGGGAAATTATGTTCACTCTAGTTACACGTGCTTTCCTCCTTCTTATTGTAGGATTTTTTCACAACCTGCCATGTTAGTATCATAACTCCTGGCTTTGTTAATGGCTCTGTTATTGATTCATTGGTGTTTTTATGTTTATTGATTGTATTGCTGTGCTAATTGTTCCTGTGGAACCAGCTCAGGAGCAAAGACACTGAGATTGTGGGTTTATTGAAATCAAGGGGCTTAGATTGGAGTAACTTTTCTTACGACTGGACTCTAAAAGTTTAAAGTAGTTCACGTGCTGCTGCTGCTTAAAAATAAATATGGGCATGTGATCATGGGGCAAAATGCAGTGTTTAAAATGGGTGGATGTGGAACTGGCCAATGGCAGTCCTAGTGACAGTACCTGTGAACTGCCTGGTTTGCACATGATATTTGACCATGCCCATAAAGAAGAAGAAGAAGAGATTTTACACCCCACCCTTCACTCAGAGTCTCAGAGCTGCTTACAATCTCCTTTCCCTTCCCCTCCCCACAACAGACACCCAATGTTCCCTCTAAGCTGTGGAGTCTTGTGAGCAAAAATTCTTCTTTGTGAGCTACTGTCATTAAAGTTGTGAGCAAGCAATTTGGTTACTGCACAGATTAGTTTGTTCTGGAGCCCTCCTTCCTGAGCGAAGACAAAAATGTGTGAGCTGGAGACTAAAAAACTGAGCTGGCTCACACTAACTCAGCTTAGAGGGAACACTGCTTGTGAGGCAGGTGGGGCTGAGAGAGCTCTTTCGAGAACTGCTCTTTCAAGAAAAGCTCTGACAGAACTATGGCTTGTCCAAGGTCATCCAGCAGCTGCAAGCGGAGGAGTGGGGAATCAAACCCAGTTCTCCCAGATTAGAGTCCGCACACTTAACCACTACACCAAACTGGCTAAAGCATGTGGGTGCTCAGGGCAACCAGGAGATACAGCTGTTATTGTGATATTGTCAGCATTTTTATTAAGTTGTGAGCTGGCACATCTTGTGAGTTGCCAAGCTGTACTTTGTTATCGAAAAGTGGGTTAGATGGTAGCTGTGGTCGGGGTGGTGGTGGTGAAGGCCCTGCTGTCAGAGACAGAGCATTGGCCTAAATAGAAACTTGGGCTAAGTATATATGGCAGTATCTATGGGGAAGGCGTGGTTTTCTCTCGAAGACTTGGAGGGTGACCACTTGAGTCTTTGAGCTGCCTTTTGGCACAGACCGAAGGGTCTTTGGCAAAGGCCCAACTTGCCCGCTTTCGCTTGTTCAGGCTCCAAGCACATGGCTTGTCTCACAATAGCTGTCAATCCTGCTGCAGAAATACTTTTTGTCCCAAGCTGAGAGCTGTGCGAGGGAGGGAATGTTGAGAAAAGGTGAAGCGAGGCCCTGTGATGGGATCAGCCCTGGATTCTCAGCAAGGCTCTTGCATCTTCTTGACTCTGCATCTCCGCATGGCTGCAACTAATCTGTTAAGGACCAGGCTCTCTTTCGATTCAGCCTTTGGGATTACCCGCAGTGTCTTTCGTCAAATATACGATACAAACAGCACATGCCTCCTTGTTATCCCTCTCGCTGGAGAGAGGCGCAGCATAGAAGCTTTTGCAAATAATCTCTAGCAGGTACAGACTAGTGTTTATCTCAAGAGCTATAGTGGATGTATTGCTTTACTTCTTTGTTGTAATACCAGTTACACGGGTTATCCGCAAACTACTTTAAAAAGCCCCAAGCAGCTGAACAGTTACATATTGCATAAGTTTTTAAACAGCATTTTAAGCCTGTTCTAACCCCCCCCCAGTAAGTTTATAAACAGCATTTTAATCCTGTTCTAAAAGCCCCCCCGCTTCCCCAGTGTGGACGAGAAATAAAGGCCAATCTCTTAGTGCCCAGTTTGGACATCACAACCAATTTTGGCTAGACTGCATGCTTCCAAAGCCTGGAAGCCTTCGAGTCTGAGCTGGGCTGTTTGCAGGGAGCAACAAGGGGGTCTGGAAGGGCAAGGATTTCAGGCTTGTCCTTGTAAGAAGAACCAGTCTGTGCCTTGGTTCAGGTGGGTAGCCATGTTGGTCTGAAGCAACAGAACATAGTTTGAGTCCAGTGGCACCTATAAGACCAACAAAGTTTAATTCTGGGTATTATACATGAAAGCTTATACCCAGAACGAAACTTGTTAAAGGTGCCACTGGACTCAAACCTCAATCTGTGGCTTTTTTGTGATGCCTGAATGCAGGCATTATTGATTGTCTCAGTTTCTCAGATTATGTGACAATAGCACCATCTTCCAGTTGGTCTTGCTTCTTACACATTTTCTGGCAGTGTAGCGTCAATAACTCCACAGCTTTTTAATCCACTCCTTTCCAAGAACAATTTCAGATGTGCGTTTCTCATGTGTGTATAATTTGAGTTTACGGTCCAGTTGTTCGGTACGCCGAATACATCCAAAGCTGTTGTCTGGGGTGGTTTTCCAGGAAATAGCTTTAAATATCTTAAGCTTTAAATATCTTCCAGGAAAGCTTTAAATATCTTCCAGGAAATAGCTTTAAATATCTTTAAATATCTTCGATATTATTAAATACCTTAAATGGAGTCATTCTGTGAACCAAGTACTCTTCCACAGTTCTTGGATGCCAGTAGCTTTCTTTTTGTAGGACCACTTGATGTCAGGTTGATACTAGTCATTTAGCAGGTTCCCTTCAGGGTGAAGAGAAGTTCACTAACCAGTTCTTCAAATAAAGAATAATGTCTCATTGACCTGAACTGGTGTCATATAGAAATCATTAAATTTAGCTGGGCAGGAGCATGAAGCACAGCAGACTGGGAATTTTTTTCCAGCTTTGGACCAAAAAGAAGAGGAATGTAGAAGAAATGTATTATTAATGAAGAAGGGGCATTTTGATATAATTAATTCAGTGAACCATTTTATATTTTTACTGTCTGATACTGTTTAGTCTTTTCCCATATCTTGCCTTTCTTCTTTTATTTTTATCAAATTCTGCACTGTCCCTCCATCCTCTCTAGTTAGGTTAAAGCTTTCTGGATGACAGCCGTCTCATCCCAATATAGCACTTAAAGTAAAGGTAAAGGTTAAGAACATAAGAGACGCCAATGTTGGATCAGGCCAAAGGCCCATCCAGTCCAACACTCTGTGTCACACAGTGGCCAGAAATACCAGTGCCATCAGGAGGTCCAGCAGTGGGGCCAGGACACTAGAAGCCCTCCCCCTGTTGACCCCCCCCCCCGAAGCACCAAGAAGACACAGCATCACTTGCCCCAGACATAAGAACATAAGAGATACCAATGTTGGATCAGGCCAAAGGCCCATCCAGCCCAACACTCTGTGTCACACAGTGGCCAGAAATACCAGGTGCCATCAGGAGGTCCACCAGTGGGGCCAGGACACTGGAAGCCATCCCACTGTTGACCCCCCCAAGATGACAGAGCATCACTTGCCCCAGAGTCCCTGGAATCTCTGGTCTGGATTGCCCCACGCAGAGCCCAGCAGTGAAGTAGGCTTGGCCCCAAGGGTGTGCTGTGGAGGTAGCTGCAGCCAGTCCCAGCCTTAGAATCATAGAATCGTAGAGTCGGAAGGGACCTCCAGGGTCATCTAGTCCAACCCCCTGCACAATGCAGGAAATTCTCAAATCCCTCCCCTTCCACACCCCCAGTGGCTGCTGTTCCATGCCCAGAAGATGACAAAAAAAAACTCCACGATCATCTTATAAACCTCAATCATGTCTCCCCTCAGTTGTCGTTTCTCCAAGCTAAAGAGCCCTAAGCGCTTTAACCTTTCCTCATAGCCAGTAGAGTCCGACTCTAGGGTTACGGTGCTCATCTCTGTTTCAAAGCCGAAGAGCCAGCACTGTCCGAAGACATTTCCATGGTCATGTGGCCGGCATGACTGAACACCAAGGCACACGGAACGCTGTTACCTTCCCACCGAAGTGGTACCTATTTATCTACTTGCAATTTCCTGTTTTCGAACTGCTAGGTTGGCAGGAGAGTATAGCACTTAGTTGGCACTAAATATATTTGAATAATAATGATGGTGATAATGGAAGTAAACAAGCAGCAAGAAAACTCTGCAGATGTTGCATTGAGTGCAGATGTTCCAATGAGGGAACTGAGGTTTTTGCAACATATGTTGGTCAGATGATAGCTGTGGATAGGGTTGGGTCAGTGTTCCTTCTAAGCTGAGTTAGTGTGAGCTAACTTACAGTTTTTTAGCCTCCAGCTCACACATTTTTGTCTCAGCTCAGGACGGATGGCTCCAGAGCAAACTAATTTATGCAGTGGCCAAATTGCTCGCTCACAACTTCAATGCTAGTAGCTCACAAAGTAGAATTTTTGCTTACAAGACTCCACAGCTTAGAGGGAACATTGGTGATGATGTACCCCTTAGTTTTAATGACCTCCTTTGTGAGGGGCAGCGCAGTAGCAAAGAGGAAGATGTGCTTGAGGAAGGGAAATGCACCTGACCTTATAAAGTGGCACCGTTGTTTTGTATCTTTTCTCCTGTTTCATGGACGGCCAGTTTGTGGCACAGGTACCTGAGAGACCTTTCTGGCATTACATGGCTGCCTGCTCCCCAGCCTTAGCAGCGGAAGTGAACTACACCAAGGCACGGGAGTGATGACTGCATATGTGCTTGGGGAGGGTGCTGCAAATGTACCATGGTGGGTGCTAGAATGGCTCTTCCTCCTGGATTTGACTTTGTGTAGCGTGGTCCAAAAAGGTGGCCACCACTGTCTTCCTATATACCTCCTTTGGCTTACTTATGTACCATCTTTGGTTTTGTGTTATGTGTACCATCAGCTTGTAGATATATGTATCTATATCTGTCTATGTCTTACCTGTTTTATGTTTCTAGATTGCTGTGAACCCTAACCTGGATAGCCCAGGCTAGCCCGGTCTCGCCAGATCTTGGAAGCTGAGCAAGGTCGGCCCTGATGTAGGCAGGCAATGGCAAACCACCTCTGAGTGGCTCTTGCCTTGAAAACCTCACCAGGGGTCTCTGTGTCAGCTGTGACTTGACAGCAAACCCCCCACCCAAACCAACCATTTCTCTGGGTGCTGTTATATTCTCTTTAATAAACCACCCTATAACTCTAGTGAATGTATACATTTTACCTTGGGCTACGGTGAGCTCAAGTGGTTAAGATGCTGAACTGCAGGCTGTGGAAGGTCAGTTCAAGACCCGGGTGCCGCATGATGGAGTGAGCTCCCGTCTCTAGTTCCAGCTCCTGCCAACCTAGCAGTTCGAAAGCAAGAAATTGCAAGTAGATAAATAGGTACCACTTTGGTGGGAAGGTAACAGCGTTCCGTGCACCTTGGTGTTTAGTCATGCCGGCTACATGACCACGGAAACGTCTTCAGACAGCGCTGGCTCTTCGGCTTTGAAATGGAGATGAGCACCGCAACCCTAGAGTCGGACTCGACTGGCTTTTGAGCAAGGGAACCTTTACCTTTACTATTTCTCTCGCGCGTCGTAGATCCCAGGTGTTTGCACCTCAGTGAAGTGATATTCAGGCTTCTGTGAGGGGGATGGGGTAGCAACTGTGCCCTCCGTTACTTGGATCCTGAGATTCAACCCATGTTGACACTGGATGCATCCATCCTCTCTCTGCCTACTCCATTCTGTGCAGAAAATAAACCTGGGTGATCTTTACACTTATCTGAGCCTGAGAACTCACCGACCTTGCGAGAAAACCATCTAGAAAGTTTGGTTTATTTTGTAAGGTCAGGAAGAGCCCAAGGTCAAACAAACAGATCTCCTTCGCTCAGCTGTTCCTTTTTTCCAGCATGGAAGGAATTCATGAGCTGGAGGTCAGTCTCACTGTAGGTGGAATTCCAGGTGGACAAAAGCTACAAACCAGCAGATTTTCTGTGTGTGATTTAGAGTGACGTCTTGGTATTATTGATAACTACAGTTCTAAACTTTGTAGGAATTAAGCAAGTTAACTAACGGTCAAAAGATGAATAAAACTGTCAAAATATCTGACAGTTTTGTGGAGCTCCGTCTTTCATCGTGGCTTGTGTCCCAGAGAGCAAATCGTTATTCCTGAGAGCAGCTTGTGGCTATCCTTTGGGGGGGTGTGTGTGTGATTTATGGCAACCCCATAGGGTTGTCAAAGCAAGAGATGTTCAGAGGTAGTTTGCCATGGCCTGCCTCCGCATAAAGGCCCGAGTACTATTTGGTGGCCTCCCATCCAAATACTAGCCAGGTCCGACCCTGCTTAGTTTCTAAAATCTGACAAGATTGGGCTAGCCTGGGGTATCCAGGTCAGGGCCCTAATTAATTCAGGGTGCTGTAAACACTTTGTCATTGATGGCAAACTCCCATTTACATCTGAAGAAGTGAGCAATGACTCACGAAAGCTCATCCCCTGCCACAAATTTTGTTAGTCTATAAGGTGCTGCTGGACTCTTTACTCTTTACTGCTGCTACAGACACAGACTAACACGGCTACCCATCTTGATCTCTCCCATTCACAAGTTTTTAGGATTCTGAGCCCGCACGTGGGGAGGGCGGGGTATAAGTGGAAATAAATAAATAAATAAATAAATTTTGGTTTAAGTCTGCACCATGAGCATACTCTCAGACACCCTTAGTAGAACCCTTCGTGTGGCAGGCCCTTACCACCGAGTTGACTCACATAACCTCTCATGATTTCGGGGAACCGTGTTTGTTTTGAACTGTACACCTTCCCTGCAGTGATCAGGTGTTCGTAGGGTAGCAAATGCAAAGGTTCAGCGCCCTGAGGTCAGTTCTGTGGTGAGTCTGCCTGCCTTCCTGCTGCTGTGGTACAGTCCAGTGAAACCAATTCCACATAATGCTGAAGACGGTGTAGTTCTGGTTCATCCTGCTTCTTTCTGTATAGTTTCGGTTCCACAGCTGTGTTCCGATGCACATTAAACTGGGAGTAATCCCCCTGAGATGTGCATACTCTGAGATGTGCATAAATCATCACAGCCCATTCTGCGTCCATGACTTCTCTCTATACTTCTGGTAGCAGTGCACAAGAAATCTGTGAAACTGTGCATTATTTATATGTGTGTTTTAATTTAGGGTTTCTTTATATCCCACCTTTCTCCCCAATGATAACCCAAAGGGGCTTCAGTCATTAGGCTGAGAGTGTGTATGACTGGCCCAAGGTCACCCAGCAAGTCTCCGTGGCACCAGTGGGAATTTAAACCCGAGTCTTCCAGATACTAGTCCGACACTCTCAACCACTACACCACGAAGAGAAAAAGACTGACCTGACCTGGATAGCCCAGGCAAGCTCAATCTCTTCAGATCTCGGAAGCTGAGCAGGGCCGACCCTGGCAAGTACTTGGATGGGAGACCTCCTTGGAATACCAGAGCTAGGAGGTGGGGGCAGGCTTTATTCAGCCACCTCTCTGAATGTCCTCCAGGCCCCCAGTAGGGATCAGCCACCAGAGGTCGCATGACTTCCAGGTGTGTGCGCATGCGCACACAAAAAATACAAAAGGAAAAAAAGACTTAGAAAAACTCTTGTTGCCAAGATTTTGTACAACTAAACTGCTACAGGTGTTTACTGCTACAGTAGAGGGTGAAGATCCATATTTATTAGACAGGTTTTCAGTGCCTCATCTGGTGTTCAGCAGCACTCTCCGCCAGTATTAAGAATTTTTGTTGTGTCAGCTTATTTCCCCAAAGGTTTGTCCCTTACATTGCTGCAGACGAATGAAAATATTGTGGATTTTTTTCTGCCCCCCAGCTCAGAAGATAAAATTACTGTGCACTTTATAACTCGTGATGGAGATAAACTAACAGCCCAGGGAAAAGTCGGAGACTCGCTTCTAGATGTTGTGGTCAATAACAATCTAGACATAGATGGATTTGGTAAGTAGCAAGTACTTAATTTCCAGTAACAACAGAACATTATTTCATAAGGGAACTAAAAAGATGAATTTGGGTGTTCAGCTGAAAGTGACACCCTAAACATAAGCAGGATGTAAAAGTTTAGTCCGTGGCTCTCTTGGAAACGGTCGTGTCACAGGAAAGTATGCTAAGCCTCTGGGGCTACTGTACAGAAGGCCCTGCCCTAGTACATGTGGAGGCCTCCCTGTGAGATGGGGACCGTAAGCAGGACCACCTCAGACTATGTCGATGCACCACCAGGGTGGGGTAGGCCTGTATGGGATACTCTCTAAGACTGATTGAGGCTTTAAACACAGATGTCAGCAGCACGTTAAACCTGCCTGGCTCAGGAGACATTTGGAATGCGGTACGGATGCACATGCACCAGTGAGAAGTCTGGCTCTGGTACTCCTCAGCTTTCTGAATCCTATTTAATATGCTAGCCAGATGACTGGAGCAAAACAACTGAAATGCCCTGCTGGATATTCACCTCTAACCCTAGCAAATAGTTGTCGGTTGTGTCTTTAAATGCCTGCAAATGAAGATCCTATCTCTGATTTTGTCACTAGGGGGCACTGCAGATACAGATAACTTTTGCGTACTTTTACGGCTTCATGTAATCCTTCTGGTCCTTAATGTGTTGGGGTTTTTTGTTTCATTGCCATATTAGGCCTATCTCCAAATTCAATTCTTTGACTGGTCCCATTTCATAATCTTTCACCTGACACATAAATCCAGCTTATCTAGATAACCTTAGTGAGTGTAGCTCGTATAGATACCCTTTGCCCGTATAACCTATGTAACAGCTCAAGAAAGGAACCTTTCCTTGTTAGTGGGCTAATCAGTGTTAAATTCAGGAACACTTTGTATTCACTTCATTTCAGACAAAATTATATATGGACTCAGGGGTCATTTCGTAGAAAAAGAGCTAGGGGAACTCATTAGCATCACTCATTAGCATATGCCACACCCCCTGACATCAGGGGCCCGGCGGTGGACCTGCAAGGCGAACTGTGTTCCCCCGCGTTCCCCCCCGAAATGACCCCTGTATGGACTACATATCCTCTTCTTATTTGAGGAGTTAAATATGCACGTAATGTTTTTCAAAAGCTTTTCAGAACGTGCGCGGGTTGTGGGAAATGAGTGGGTGTACGGCTTGTATACCGATAGCCTGCACTGTTTCATGTGTGTTAAAGGGGAGAAGCAGTGGCTCAGACCTAAGTAACATGCTTTGGATGCAAGAAGTCCTGGATTTGGCTCCTGGCATCTCCAGTTAAAGGATGAACACACAAAACAGCCGCCTGTTGAATCAGACTGTAGGTCTGTTATGGTCAGTAATATCCACTCTGACTGGCTGTGGTTCCCCGGGGTCTTGAACAGAAGAAGTCTTTCACATCACGTACTGCCCAGTCCTTTTAACTGGAGATGCCAAGGACCAAATCAAGGCCGGCTGCATGCAAAGAAGACCAGATGGTGGGGGGAAATATTTCTCGCTGTGAGACTGTTGGAGAGTTAGTGCCTCTTAGGACAGCTATACTGAGCTAGATGGACTAATGATCTGACGGGATAAGGTATTTTCATGTGTGTCTTTGTTCTTATGGCTTTGTGGTATAGCCACATGTAGGCAGCCATGGAAAACATTAACTGAAGGATCAATACAGTGGAATTTAAAGAAGAAGTCTAAAGTAGGCCTAATTCTTACGTTAATTTTTAGGTGCATGTGAAGGAACACTTGCTTGCTCTACGTGTCACTTAATCTTTGAAGAGGACGTATTTAAAAAACTAGATGCAATTACTGATGAGGAGTTGGATATGCTGGACCTTGCCTATGGATTGACAGAAACGTAAGGCGGAAGCAACTTGAAATCTACCAAAGGGAATAGCCGTTTCCTTCTAGAAGCTGCGCACTGTTTAGGCTGTGCTAACTGTATGGAATTAGTTATATGCTACCCATGACATTCTGAGTTTTGCTTCGTAAGCAATCATCCCCCCACCCCCGATCTAATTTTCTAGGGTTGTTTTTTTTTATTGCCTTGTACTTAGAATGTCAGATTTTTATGTTCAAATCATTTGGTTTGTCAGTCCTTACCCTTCTTTTTCAAACTTTTTTGGCTTCTTTTAAAACCTGGATGAATTGTCCACAACAGTAGAACTAAGTTAGAGTCCAGTGGCACCATTAAGACCAACAGAGTTTTAGTCAAGGTATGAGCTTTCATGTTCACACATACCTCCATACACCTGAGGAAGTGAGCATGCACTGACAAAAGCTCATGCCTTGAATAAAACTTTGTTGGTCTTAAAGGTGCCCCCGGACTCAGACTTTGTTCTGCAGCTTCAGACCAACACGGCTGCCCCACCTGGATCTGTCCACAAACAGGTCAAAGCCAAACAAAACAAAACAAAACAAAAAAGCTTTTGGACCAGGTCTTGTCATGTTCTTAGTGTGAATTGTCAAGGAAGTGGTTTTGGCAGATTGTCACCGTTTCCTGTGAATGCAACTTTTAAAACAAGGCTTGAGCTGAGTCTTTGATTTCTTGTGATGCTTGAGCATTTATTGGTCATTCCCTGTGGACAGACAGTAGAGATGAGTGGAGTTGTGCCAGCAGTTTCCCTGTGTCTCCTTTCTGAATTTGCAGGTCTGGAACAGTGGTTGAAGTATTGAAACATTAATTGGGAAAGTCCCTGGTTCAGATCTCCCCTGAGCTCACTTAGTAGTTGAAAGCAAATTACCTCTGTCCGCCCTGGCTCTGCAGTGTGGAGGAATAATCCTGTAACATTGGTTAGTGTTTCAACGAACATAAGAGCATAAGAGAAGCCACTGTTGGGTCAGGCCAATGGCCCGTCCAGTCCAGCACTCTGTCACACAGTGGCCAAAAATACCAGGTGCCATCAGGAGGTCCAGCAGTGGGGCCAGGACACTAGAAGCCCTCCCATTGTTGCCCCCCCCAAGCACCAAGAATACAGAGCATCACTTGCCCCAG